TCCTATTATTTTATTAGTAACAGCTGTTCACACAAAAATAGTGTTTGGATCTGAGAATAGCTCTTTCCTTCATGTTACTCCATTCGGCAGAACAAGAGAAAATGTTCACTGTTTACTGTATTCCACTACCGCCATAGATTTAACTATCAACAATCACACATTTTCCCTTCTATTGCTAATTTCACACTTCCCTAGGATTAATTCTGCAGAGATCTTAACACTGCTTCAAAGCCATAATAAAACTTTCCCTTTGGAAATTTCATTGCCCTCCCCTGCCTATCATCCAGAAAATCAGACTTTAATTGTTGCTGCAAGTATTTGTATTTCCCCAAACCCAATATACAGCATCTAGAGGAAACAGAATCCTCCACCTTCTTAAAGAAAGCAATCCTAACATTCTTAAAATGGCTTCTCTCTCTCCCAAGATGTATTCTTTGAGCTCCATATACTCCCTTTACAACTCCCAATCAATATTCTCATTGGTATCAATAGAACAAACATCCCCGAAAGACAAATTCAACAAATGCTAGAATCAAAATCAGCATGGGAAAAATACTGTTCATCTTTTTTCGAGTAGTATAAGTTTGTCTGGATCATGAAGAAAAAAAATCTGTTCCTTTCTTCCGCTAACTTTAGCATAGCACACAGCTTCACAACTGTGAAAGCTGCTTCAGGTCTTTACAAATCCATGGGTAATAAAAATCGTAATGACATTTAATAGGAAACTTTGCAAATTGAACATACAGCATCTCTTACCAGGTGGAGCCCTTTTTTAATGACAAAGAAGTGAACAAATTTATTTGTAATAAACAAAATGGCTACTAAATTACTCTTTGATTCCCCTTTGTAAAGTTACCTATAAAAATTTGATTAGGTAAACAGAACAATTTCACTGGCCAGCAGGGTTTTAATTTGTCCCAATATGAAGAAATAACATGTAAGTAGAGGATTGACAACTATATCACAGATATACACAATAAATTCACGTGGTTCAATGTAAAAATCTTACCCCGAAGGTTTTGTGACAGAGAAACGTTCATATGTATGAGGGAAGCTACCCCTTCACACTCTACACATATAAACTATAAGTACTTTGTTTCCACCAAAAAAAAAAAAAAAAAGAGGAAATTCATCTGTGGTATTCTTGCATATAACGTGCCTACATAAATAACATGCACACCATATAACGCATATAGGAAAACAATGCTCAAGGAAGTGCAATAAAGTGAATAAATCCTGCCATTCAGAAACATAGTCAACCCTTGGAAGCTAGAAGAGCAGAGAAAATTAAAACTGGTTAGTCCTTAAAGCAGCCTCATAAACACCATGTTTTGGTATTTTCAGAGATGCTGCTGTTGGGCTATTAGAGAATGTATTTATTCTACAGTTTTGAGTAGCCACCCTAGACAGCAAGTATCCTTTAGGTTACCAGGTAGTCAACACACCCACTCTTCCTCCATGTGTATACCCACTCTTACTTCAATTAACTCTCCCTGAAGGAGGGTGCTTTTACAGAGAGATCTGTGTGCATGAATACCTCTGGTGGTGCGGTGGCTAAGGCCTTCGGCTGCTAACCAAATGGTTCAAATCCACCAGCCACTCCATGGAAGAAAGGTAAGGCAGTTTGCTTTTGTAAAGATTTACAGACTTGGAAACTCTGTGGGGGCAGTTCTATTCTGTCCTACAGGATCACTAAGAGTTGGAATCGACTCAGCAGTTCTATTCTGTCCTACAGGATCACTAGTGAGTTGGGTTGGGTTGGGTTGGGTTTGGTATGAATGAATTCTCAATACAGTCTGCATTCATCAGAGCATTGCCAGACTCTGAAGTCTCATCTTGCTCTACAACTGCACAGCTTCATGTATAAACCGTACACCCCTGAAATGAGAAACATGCTATCTGCAATTTCTAAAAATTTCTAAGATCCTGTATTTAATCATTGAATCATGGAATCTACCACCATAAGAACAATTCCTTTTTTGTTCTCTTGAGTCAGAATATAATATGATGTTCTTAAGGCAGTAGATGCCAGGATTCAATAAACAATGACAAAAAAAAAAAAAGGAATGAAAATCAAAATATTTAAGTATGGTAGAAAAACTTTGGTGCACATAGGCAAAACTGCTGGCTATGAATCAAAATAGCACAAATTTTGCTGCTATACTTTCATCCAGGCCTGTAACTACTATTTTCTAACTTCTCCATAGTTCTAATATATAAACCAAATAATATTTAAAAACCATGCAAATAAAATGCAGGGGTCCACACTTATATCCTTCTCAAACAAACAAGTCCATTAAGATGGCATGATGCCTTGAACTAAAATTTACTTTGTGAATAATTTTATACTAAGTATCAATGTGCCAGTAACTCCTCAATTTAAATAAACTTGTTTAAAACATTAGTAAATTTTTAAACTATGAAAGGGACATATTCTGTAACCGCCTCTGGATAGGTACCCTTGAAATGAATGGAGGACCCAGAAGAGTCCTTGGCACAGCCTATCTCAGGAGTTCCTCCAATAGAACCCCTTCCCAATGCCTTCCCCTCCTGGACTCAGAAAATTGTGAACTTACATGCTCATACTTATACACAAATCTACATTTAGTGTATACTATGACTATGCCCACAGTGTAGAAAATGCAGTATTGATATGTTACAAAAACAATAAACCTAGAACATGAAGCTGTAGCGATTCTTACATGATGTCTAGGGATCGTGTTTCTGATAGCTGTATAATTTTTAAGTATTACTCATACACATAGGCTCTAAATTAATGTGATATTCGCTTGCCATTTCTAAAAGGTCATATTGGGGGCTGGTTCTATTAAACCCTACTCAAATATCTAATAAACAACAGGAAGGTAAAAAAAAGTTCTTCACACCAACACCACTAGCAGGAAAACTGTTTAACTTTATTTTTTCTCCTCAGTAAATCATCTCCAAGCTCATTTTTAAAAGTGCAGTATGTTATTTAAATACATAGTAGGTAATTAAGCATCCATATGTTTACTTCCCCAGAAGTCCTTCTCCTAGGCATTCAAACCAAGGCCTTTGGGGGATAAAATGGCTCTAACTCAGCCTCTGAGAAACTCAGAGCTGTTGTCAATTTCAGGCACTAGGGCTGGCTTGAGAAACCTCCAATGCCTGTTTGCAGCTAACCAGAAACAAATAAAGACAGAAAACAGGGCAAAATAAAAAGAAAAATCATTCTTAAAACAAATCACTCTGAAACACATGCTTTTTTTCTTAATCCAGCCCTTAAACACTCTACACATTTTTCTTGTCTTATTTCCTTCTCATCTTGAGAATTTAGAAAACATTCAACTGCACATTTTCAGCCATTAAAAACAGCCCAGAAATGAGAATTTAAAAATAAATCTTTATTTTCCAATTACAGTTTCCTTCTCCTCTCACTTCATTCCCATAAGTCCACCTCTTTCATCCAGGGTTTTGCCTTCTGTTCTTTATAAACGTATGCAAACTTATCTAATCAGGTTTCAAAATGAAGACATAAAGCATGGCACGTGAATTAACCATTTGTACTATCTGTGATCACTATAATTTGTTCCTTCTTGTAAATGATCCAATATACAGCAATTCAGTCTCAAAGCCGACTGGTTCTTTGAACCAGAAGATGGAATGCTCAAGATAAGAAAATGCCTGCCTCTCAAACCCTACTGACAATGCAATATTCTTTTCTTACAGAAATGTTGGAGAAACATATTTATTATACCCGCAAAAAGCCAGAACACAAGTGCAGACATTTTTCAGGCCTGTTACTGCAAAGCTGTTTGCACTTCCTACCACGATAGCTCAGTTATGTCATGCTGGCTTGTATGTGAACCCTGATCGCTTGATTCTGAACATTCTCTCGGAGATAATAATCAATAGAATTCCTATTTGAGAAATGGCTTTTTTTTTTTGGCTAACTTAGTGTTAAACCAGAATATAAGGTTGTTTGTTTAGACATTAAAGGGAAATTTTTTGTTACAGGCTTCCCGTTTTCCTTCTAGCCCAGATTCCAAAGATACTATAACGATGTCCGTTTTAAACAAACAAAAGGTTTCTATTTGTTTCCACGAGAGTGACTGGGAGGCTGCACCGGTTTTCAGTAGTAAGCATTGTGAATTCAGGCCTACATCTGGGTAGCCTCATTAAACAAAAGATACTCGTTGCTGTCAACCACACAGCACAAGGCTTCGCTATCCCTCATCTTTATCCGGCAGGAATGGTGCAGAAGAGAAACACGCCTGTCATTATCCACTGGCCAAGAAACTCCTCTGGGGTCCCTTCTTTAGGTGGTCTGATGGCTAAAGAAAAGAACTTGTGTGACATTTGAGCCTGCCCCCCACACCAATACATAAGCCCCCTTTCTTTGAACGGCCAGGCACTAGGCTACCTCACCACCACTCCTTGCAGAATCCAGTCGCGAGTCTGCCCACCGTTCCCCCATTCACTCCTGACCCCAGAATGCACTGATAATGGGTGCACACACCACCCCACCGCACACCATCTTCGCAGCGTGTCCAGGCTCCACTCGCCACTCTCGGGGCCACACATACACAGATCCCCATGCAACCACCCCACGGGGCGCCGCGCCACGACACTGTAAGTTCAACCACTCAGTCCACCTTCCCACCCCCGCACCCCGAGCCACGCCAGTGAAGTGATTTTCTATTTAGCAGATACACAGCAGATAAACGCGCACCCCAAATGCACAGCCCTCAGGGATACCAAAAGGCACACGCCGAGACACCGGGCAGGGTAGCGCGCGCGCGCGCGCGTGTGAGTGAGTGAGTGAGTGTGTGTACGCGCCCGCGCGCGCCCGCACGGGTGCGGGTGGTGGCCAGGGGCGCGCCCGCGCTCTCGGGCAGGACAGGGGCGAGCCACCGGTGCTGGGGGCGGGGGACGCCGAGGGTAGCTGCCTCAAGGGGTCGGGGGTGGCAGGCGGGAACCCAGAGGCACGGCGAGAAGGCACCAGGCCGGGCCATACTCACCCAGCAGCAGCAGCTTGAGCTCCCGGCGGGCGTCCCGCTTGTCCCTACGGAGCTGCCGCTCGATCTCGTCGTTGATCCGCCGGGCTTCCTTGGCCTCCTCGCTCAGGCAGCACGCCATGATGGACTCCAGAGTCATTCTTCCAAAGTGCCTCCGCTGCAGCCCCGCCGGCACCCCCTGCTCACACGCGCGCACACACACCCTCCCGCCCTCGCTCCCCGGAGGCAGCGGTGGCC